TACATAGTGTAGATGTAGTGTATACATAGTGCAGACGTAGTGTATACATAGTGTAGATGTAGTGTATACATAGTGTATACATAGTGTAGACGTAGTGTATACATAGTGTAGATGTAGTGTATACATAGTGCAGACGTAGTGTATACATAGTGTAGATGTAGTGTATACATAGTGTATACATAGTGTAGACGTAGTGTATACATAGTGTAGATGTAGTGTATACATAGTGTAGATGTAGTGGATACATAGTGTAGATGTAGTTTATACATAGTGTATACATAGTGTAGACGTAGTGTATACATAGTGTAGATGTAGTGTATACATAGTGCAGACGTAGTGTATACATAGTGTAGATGTAGTGTATACATAGTGTATACATAGTGTATACATAGTGTATACATAGTGTAGATGTAGTGTATACATAGTGCAGACGTAGTGTATACATAGTGTAGATGTAGTGTATACATAGTGTATACATAGTGTAGATGTAGTGTATACATAGTGTAGATGTAGTGAGTACATAGTGTATACATAGTGTAGACGTAGTGTATACATAGTGTAGATGTAGTGGATACATAGTGTAGATGTAGTGTATACATACTGTATACATAGTGTAGATGTAGTGTATACATAGTGGAGATGTAGTGTATACATAGTGTAGACGTAGTGTATACATAGTGTAGATGTAGTGTATACATAGTGTAGATGTAGTGGATACATAGTGCAGACGTAGTGTATACATAGTGCAGACGTAGTGGATACATAGTGTAGATGTAGTGGATACATAGTGTAGACGTAGTGTATACATAGTGCAGACGTAGTGTATACATAGTGTAGATGTAGTGTATACATAGTGGAGATGTAGTGTATACATAGTGTAGATGTAGTGTATACATAGTGTAGACATAGTGTAGAGGTAGTGTATACATAGTGGAGATGTAGTGTATACATAGTGTAGATGTAGTGTATACATAGTGTAGACATAGTGTAGAGGTAGTGTATACATAGTGTAGATGAAGTGTATACATAGTGTAGATGTAGTGTATACATAGTGTAGATGTAGTGGATACATAGTGCAGACGTAGTGTATACATAGTGTAGATGTAGTGGATACATAGTGTAGACGTAGTGTATACATAGTGTAGATGTAGTGTATACATAGTGGAGATGTAGTGTATACATAGTGTAGACATAGTGTAGAGGTAGTGTATACATAGTGTATACATAGTGTAGACGTAGTGTATACATAGTGTAGATGTAGTGTATACATAGTGTAGAGGTAATGTATACATAGTGTAGATGTTGTGTATACATAGTGTAGATGTTGTGTATACATAGTGTAGATGTAGTGTATACATAGTGTAGATGTAGTGTATACATAGTGTATACATAGTGTAGACGTAGTGTATACATAGTGTAGATGTAGTGTATACATAGTGCAGACGTAGTGTATACATAGTGTAGATGTAGTGTATACATAGTGTATACATAGTGTAGATGTAGTGTATACATAGTGTAGATGTAGTGAGTACATAGTGTATACATAGTGTAGATGTTGTGTATACATAGTGTAGATGTTGTGTATACATAGTGTAGATGTTCTGTATACATAGTGTAGATGTAGTGTATACATAGTGTAGATGTAGTGTATACATAGTGTATACATAGTGTAGACGTAGTGTATACATAGTGTAGATGTAGTGTATACATAGTGTAGAGGTAATGTATACATAGTGTAGATGTTGTGTATACATAGTGTAGATGTTGTGTATACATAGTGTAGATGTAGTGTATACATAGTGTAGATGTAGTGTATACATAGTGTATACATAGTGTAGACGTAGTGTATACATAGTGTAGATGTAGTGTATACATAGTGCAGACGTAGTGTATACATAGTGTAGATGTAGTGTATACATAGTGTATACATAGTGTAGATGTAGTGTATACATAGTGTAGATGTAGTGAGTACATAGTGTATACATAGTGTAGACGTAGTGTATACATAGTGTAGATGTAGTGTATACATAGTGCAGACGTAGTGTATACATAGTGTAGATGTAGTGAGTACATAGTGTATACATAGTGTAGATGTAGTGAATACATAGTGGAGATGTAGTGTATACATAGTGTATACATAGTGTAGACGTAGTGTATACATAGTGTAGATGTAGTGTATACATAGTGTAGATGTAGTGGATACATAGTGCAGACGTAGTGTATACATAGTGTAGATGTAGTGGATACATAGTGCAGACGTAGTGGATACATAGTGTAGATGTAGTGCAGACGTAGTGTATACATAGTGTAGATGTAGTGTATACATAGTGTAGATGTAGTGTATACATAGTGTAGATGTAGTGGATACATAGTGCAGACGTAGTGTATACATAGTGTAGATGTAGTGGATACATAGTGTAGACGTAGTGGATACATAGTGCAGACGTAGTGTATACATAGTGTAGATGTAGTGTATACATAGTGTAGATGTAGTGTATACATAGTGTAGACATAGTGAAGAGGTAGTGTATACATAGTGTAGATGTAATGTATACATAGTGTAGATGTTGTGTATACATAGTGTAGATGTTGTGTATACATAGTGTAGATGTAGTGTATACATAGTGTAGATGTAGTGTATACATAGTGTATACATAGTGGAGATGTAGTGTATACATAGTGTATACATAGTGGAGACGTAGTGTATACATAGTGTATACATAGTGGAGATGTAGTGTATACATAGTGTAGATGTAGTGTATACATAGTGTAGACATAGTGTAGAGGTAGTGTATACATAGTGTAGAGGTAATGTATACATAGTGTAGATGTTGTGTATACATAGTGTAGATGTTGTGTATACATAGTGTAGATGTAGTGTATACATAGTGTAGATGTAGTGTATACATAGTGTAGATGTAGTGTATACATAGTGTAGATGAAGTGTATACATAGTGTAGACATAGTGTAGAGGTAGTGTATACATAGTGGAGATGTAGTGTAGACGCAGTGTATATATAGTGTAGATGTAGTGTATACATAGTGTAGATGTAGTGTATACATAGTGTAGATGTAGTGTAGACGCAGTGTATATATAGTGTAGATGTAGTGTATGCATAGTGTAGATGTAGTGTATACATAGTGTAGATGTAGTGTAGACGCAGTGTATATATAGTGTAGATGTAGTGTATGCATAGTGTAGATGTAGTGTATACATAGTGTAGATGTAGTGTAGACGCAGTGTATATATAGTGTAGATGTAGTGTATACATAGTGTAGAAGTGGTGTATACATAGTGTAGAAGTGGTGTATACATAATGTAGAAGTGGTGTATACATAGTGTAGAAGTGGTGTATACATAGTGTAGAAGTGGTGTATACATAGTGTAGATGTAGTGTAGACGCAGTGTATATATAGTGTAGATGTAGTGTATACATAGTGTAGAAGTGGTGTATACATAGTGTAGAAGTGGTGTATACATAATGTAGAAGTGATGTATACATAGTGTAGAAGTGGTGTATACATAGTGTAGAAGTGGTGTATACATAATGTAGAAGTGGTGTATACATAATGTAGATGTAGTGTATACATAGTGTAAATGTAGTGTATACATAGTGTAGATGTAGTGAGTACATAGTGTAGACGGAGTGTATACATACTGTGACGTAGTGTAGATGTAGTGGATACATAGTGTAGATGTAGTGTAGATGTGGTGTAGATGTAGTGTAGATGTGGTGTAGATGTAGTGTAGATGTAGTGAGTACATAGTGTAGACGTAGTGTATGCATAATGTAGACATAGGGTATACATAGTGTAGAGGTAGTGCATACATAGTGTACATGCAGTGCATACGTAGTGTAGATGCAGTGTAGATGTAGTGTATACATAGTGTAGATGTATGAAGTGTATACATAGTGTAGATGTATGAAGTGTATACATAGTGTAGATGCAGTGAGTACATAGTGTAGATGTAGTGTATACATAGTGTAGAAGTGGTGTATACATAGTGTAGATGTAGTGTAGATGTAGTGAGTACATAGTGTATACATAGTGTAGATGTAGTGTATACATAGTGTAGATGTAGTGTATACATAGTGTAGAAGTGGTGTATTCATAATGTAGAAGTGGTGTATACATAGTGTAGAAGTGGTGTATACATAGTGTAGAAGTGGTGTATACATAGTGTAGATGTAGTGTATACATAGTGTAGATGTAGTGTATATATAGTGTAGATGTAGTGTATATATAGAGTAGATGTAGTGTATACATAGTGTAGATGTTGTGTAGACGCAGTGTATATATAGTGTAGATGTAGTGTATATATAATGAAGATGTTGTGTATACATAGTGTAGATGAAGTGTATACATTGTGTAGATGTAGTGTATACATAGTGTAGATGTAGTGTATATATAGTGTAGATCTAGTGTATATATAGTGTAGATGTAGTGTATATATAGTGTAGATGTAGTGTATATATAGTGTAGATGTAGTGTATATATAGTGTAGATGTAGTGTATATATAGTGTATGCATAATGAACATGTAGAGTCTACAGAGTAGATGTAGTGTATATATAGTGTAGATGTAGTGTATATATAGTGTAGATGTAGTGTATATATAGTGTATGCATATTGAAGATGTAGAGTCTACAAAGTAAATGGAGTGAATGTGTACTGTAGATGTAGTGTATATATAGTGTAGATGTAGTGTATATATAGTGTAGATGTAGTGTATATATAGTGTAGATGTAGTGTATATATAGTGTATGCATAATGAACATGTAGAGTCTACAGAGTAGATATAGTGTATATATAGTGTAGACGTAGTGTAGATATACTGTAGATGTAGTGTATATATAGTGTGTGCATATTGAAGATGTAGAGTCTACAAAGTAAATGGAGTGAATGTGTACTGTAGATGTAGTGTATATATAGTGTAGATGTAGTGTATATATAGTGTAGATGTAGTGTACACGACGTAAGGGTTTGTTTCTGTGTTAGTCCGCGTCATCCATCACCTTTGGGGGCCACTACAATCAGTACAGCGCTTCTATCGGTGTCGACTTCGACAAGTTCTGGCTAAGTGACAATTCCAGCACACAGTTCGGCAGCTTACAGTACACCTTTAACATCGGGACCTCTGCGAGCCCAGAACCTTTGTGGTTTGAAGTGCGACCGATGGACTTTGCCTTGACCGCCGACTACTGGAAGGTCTACTCATCCTGTGGCGGCAACACCCAGCTCTCTCTCACCAAGAAGAAAACCGCCCTCCTCACAGCACTTAACGCTTACCCTACTCTCAAGAAGCAACAGATAGGCAAAGGTAGGCTATATTACACAATCTCATCCGTACAGTAAGGTGGCCCATACCCGCCACTGCTGAGATCATTTTTCACTGTATGCCTGTATATTTTATCTGGCTCAATCCATTAAAGCTCAATCTTACGGACCTGTCGATTGCCAGGGCACTGATCTGGAAGTAATTCTGGTCACACGTGGTATGCCAATTTGAAACGGAAAGTATCTGGCAAAATATAGAGGCATACAGTGAAAAAATGATCTCACCAGCGGCGGGTATGGGCCACCGTTGTACAGATCTCACCCATGAACTGTTCGTACAGATCTCACCCATGAATTATCCGGACAGGTCTTACTCATAAACAGTCCGAACAAATCTCACCCATAAATAATTCCTTCATATCTCACCCATAAATAACCCGTACATATTACACTTATAAAGAGTGCACTCATTAAAGGATTTACCAATGCAGAGGATAAGCAAGCAGATCTCGTTCAACCCATAACATTCGCTACATCTTCACTACATCGTCACTACATCGTCACTACATATTCACAACATCTTCACTACAGTATGTGTGCAAGCAGACTACAACCATACCCTACATAGCTCTACCCGTGAAGATCCGGGGTAGAATAGGTCTTCAGCAACCCATGCTTGCCGTAAGAGGCGACTATGCTTGTCGTAAAAGGCGACTATCCTTGTCGTAAGAGGCGACTATCCTTGTCGTAAAAGGCGACTATCCTTGTTGTAAAAGGCGACTATCCTTGTCGTAAAAGGCGACTATCCTTGTCGTAGAAGGCGACAAACGGGTTCGGGTGGTCAGGCTCGCTGACTTGGTTGATACATGTCATCGATCCCAATTGCGTGGGTCGATGCTCATGATGTCAATCACTGGATTGTCGGGTCCAGACTCGATTTTTTACAGACTGCCGTCATATAGCTGGAATATTGCTGAGTGCGGCGTTTACGAACGAGAAAAATCCCATATAACTTAACATACAGATCTCACCCAAACAGATCTCACCCAGATATATGTCAGCAAGAAAGAGTTCACCCATACTGTTCTTGCCCATACATACTTCACACATACAGATTTCAACCAAAATATATCTCACCAAAACATATCTCACCCATACAGTCAGTCATATAGATCTCACCCATACAGTCAGTCATATAGATCTCACCCATACAGTCAGTCATATAGATCTCACCCATACAGTCAGTCATATAGATCTCACCCATAAAGAATTCACCAGAAGCTCACAAAATATTGTCAATAATTAGTACGTATCTCAGTGTGAATTGTACCCTCAAACAGTATTTAATGTCAGAGGAAGGAACAGTTATCCCATCAAACCTGTCACATGTCAGCCATTGGATCCCGTTGTAATAATATTCCAATATTTTGGGACACTATTCCGATACTTTTGCGAGAGTTCGCTATTCAACATGACGATGGCTACCTTGCCTGGCCTGCAGTCAGGAGCTTCCCAGTGAAAGAACGGATGGGCTGTTTTCAGCTCTGTTTATAGCTCCTATTAGAGCCGTTTACTTCTCTATTTATAGCTCTGTTTACATCTCTATTTATAGCTCGGTTTACAGTTGTTTACAGCTCTATTTATAGCTCTGTTTACAGCTCTATTTATAGTTCGGTTTACAGCTGTTTACAGCTCTATTTATAGCTCTGTTTACAGCTGGTTACAACTCTATTTATAGCCCCTTTTACAGCTGTATACAGCTCTATTTAAAGCTCATTTTACAGCTGTTTACAGCTATTTTAACAGCTATTTTACAGCTCTATTAATAGCTCTGTTTATAGAACTGTTTACACCTCTGTTTACACCTCTCTTTACCGATATGTTTAAGCTTTGTTTACAGCTCTGTTTACGGATCTTTTAATCTCTGTTTATAGCACTGTTTACAGCTGTTTGCATCTCTGTTTACAGCTCCGTTTCCGTCTTTGTTTATAGCCGCGTTTTCTGTTTATAGCTCTGTTGACATCTTTATCTATAACGACTTACAGCTGTTTACACCTCTGTATACAGCTCTGTTTACAGATATGTTTAAGCTTTGTTTACATCTCTGTTCACAGATCTCTTAAAGTTCTGTTTATAGCACTGTTTACAGCTGTTTGCATCTCTCTGTTTATGGCTGTGTTTTCACCTCTGTTTATAGCTCTGTTTCCGTCTCTGTTTATGGCTGTGTTTTCACCTCTGTTTATAGCTCTGTTGACATCTATGTTTATTACTGTTAACATCTGTTTACACCTCTGTATACAGCTTTGTTAACGTCTCTGATTATATCTCTGTTTGCAGCTTTGTTTGCGTCTCTGTTTATGGCTGTTTACGGCTTTGTTTATAGCTTTGTTTTAATATGGGTTTATAGCTATGTTTACATCTCTGTTTATAGCTGTTTGCATCCCTGTTTATAGCTCTGTTAACATCTCTGTTTATAGCTGTCTACAGCTCTGTTTACATATCTGTTTATAGCTCTGTCTACATCTGTTATTACAGCTATGTTTACATCTCTGTTTATAGCTGTTTGCATCCCTGTTTGTGGCTCTGTTAACATCTCTGTTTATAGCTGTCTACAGCTCTGTTTACATATCTGTTTATAGCTCTGTCTACAGCTCTGTTTACAGCTATATTTACATCTCTGTTTGCAGCTATGTTTACGTCTCTGTTTGCAGCTATGTTTACGTCTCTATTTATTGCTGTTTACAGCTCTCTTTATGGCTCTGTTCACATATCTGTTTATAGCTGTGTACATCTCTGTTTACATATCAGTTTATAGCTCTGTCTACATCTCTGTTTACAGCTATGTTTACATCTCTGTTTACGTCTCTATTTATATAGCTCTGTTTACAGCCACATTTCAGTTTACAGCTATAGTTACGGGTCTGTTTATAGCTCTATTTACAGCTCTGTTCACTCTGTCGCCGCTATGTAAGTGTAATACCTTGAACGTGACTTCAAACCCAATTTAACCTGTCTCAAGGTTAGTTGTGTGTCTTTGACTCTGACAGATATCGACCTGAGAATACCGCTGATTTGGCCCCTGGGGACATACGGCTTGATGCAGCCCAAGACTGGCTGCCCCACCGGTGGAGCATCATGGGCCGAGGGCTGGAACTATGAAGACTTGGAAAACACCTTAACCTTAAACCACGCCTCCTCCGGCATACACCTCAGAGGTGAGGGCGACGTCCGTGCTTGTAACGTTGTTCCTTTAACTAGTTAAGAGTGAGTGAGTTGAGTTTAACGCCGCTTTTATCAGTATTCCAGTTATATCACAGCGTGTCAGCTTAATGTGTGAGGAAAGCCCGAAGTGATGCAAGTCTCAGACGTTAACCACTTCGGTGAAACCCACGAGCACAGCTAATCGCGGCGCCTTAAACGACTGGGCCACCCGTGCCCCCTTAACTAGTAAAGAACACACAGCAATTGATAGCTTTTTCTTGTCTAATAACATGACTCCGCAACACTGTTATTTTCATTTTCGGCGCAGCAACGGTGCGAATTATATATTATGAGCGATACGTGACGGTTAAATACGACTTAATGATAATTATTCTTGTTTATCACATAATGATATAACCGAAGGCCATGTCAAAATGTACAGATAACTTAAATAAAAATGAAAACTCGTTGTATCAAAGCTCATTTGCTCATTGTCACTCCTCCATGTTCGAGATAACTGGATACAGGTGAATTTCTGTACCTCTGGTAGACGGGTTTCATGTTGATAACACATGTTCCAGGAAGCTTTCCTGACAAAGGGAATTTCAAGTACTACTTCTGTATGAAGGGCAAGCCGAAGGTCAGTGACTGGGACATGGACTGGCCATCCGGGGACTACTGCATTCTCAAGTATGGGAACTGTCCTTCAGGTAGATATACTGCATTCTCAAGTATGGGATCTGTCCTTCAGGTAGATATACTGCATTCTCAAGTATGGGGATTGTTCTTCAGGTAGATATACTGCATCCTCAGGTATTGGTAGTATTGGAACTGTCTACCAGTAGACATACTGCATTCTCAAGTATGGGGACTGTTCTTCGGGTAAAGAAACTGCATTCTAAAGTATTGGTAGTTTTGGAAATGTCTACCAGGCAGACATACTGCATTCTCAAGTATCAAGTATCAAGTAAACAGAGTGGTTTATCTAGGACAAAGGACATGGATAACTATAAACAGAGGGGTTTATCTAGGACAAAGGACATGGGTCACTATAAATAGATGCGTTTATTAAGGACAAAGGAGATGGCTAAAAATATTGTTTCCATACATGACGCAGGTTTCAAAGATGGCTACATCCAGCTTGACGACAATGACGTTCCCAACATAAACAAACATGGCGGCACACTGCCCGATGGCAGTTTTGGCAAGAACACGCGGATCGACTTTTGTTGCAGGTAAAAATCATTCTTAACTGTCTGAGCTCTGGTCGCGTCTCAAAGATAAAAAGTTCAATGCAAACCGAGAACACCCTGACTGCAGGGGGTTAACTCCACACACTACACCAGGACCATGCACTGCACCAGGACCATGCATCAATCTTTATTGTTCTTTACGTCATGCGCAATGCACTGGAACGAGCGCAATATAAGCGATTAATTCTTTTTTGTTTCATTCGGCATGCGCAATGCACTGGAACGAGCGCAATATTAACGATCAATTCTTTATTGTGCAGAGTTGCGTCCCTTGGGCACGCAAGAAACCTGTGATTGTGGGTTCGATTCCCGGTTGGCCCCAATTATGTGTCTGGTTTTGTTTGGGAATAATGTTGCAGGCTGGCAGGAATTCAATTCACACTTGACAAGTAGATAAGAAACAAGTCAGGTCGTAAAAGGCATCGAATCTCCCTAGTGTCGCTCTTGTATAGGTACGGGGCGGTCGGGTAGCCTAGTGGTTAAAGCGTTCGCTCGTCACGCCGAAGACCCGGGTTCGATTCCCGACATGGGTATAATGTGTGAAGCCCAATTCTGGTGTCCCCCGCAATGATATTGCTGGAATATTGCTAAAAGCATACTCACGCACTCACTTGTATAGGTACGGCCAGACTTCTAGAAACTGTCGCATCACAAAACTTCTCAAACTGGCGTGGGTCAAAAACCTGTCGTGTGTGTCCTAAGTTGCAGATACCATCTGCATGTCCCCCTGTTTTCCCCTTTGTTGCCCACTGCTCAGGGGGCACGGGTTGTCCGGCCGTCGCAATTCACGGTGCAGAGTTTTGTCAGAACTCAGTTACGCCAGAAACGTATGACAGTGGGTTCGAATCCCGGTTCGCTCCGATTATGTTTCTAGGTTTGTCAGCACCATACCACTGCTCGTGGGTTTCACTGAAGTGGTAACGTCTGTGACCTGCATCACGTCAACTGCATCATACTCCCACGTCAAGCTGACAGGCGTGATATAACTGGAATACTGTTAAAAGTGGGGATAAACCCACCTCACTCACTCTCTCATGTTTCATGTTCTTCAGAGACGGGGGCGGTCGGGTAGCCTAGTGGTTAAAGCGTTATCTCGTCACGCCGAAGACCCGGGTTCGATTCCCGACATGGGTACAATGTGTGAAGCCCTTTTCTGGTCTCCCCCGCCGTGATATTGCTGGAATATTGCTAAAAGCGGCGTAAAACCATACTCACTCACTCACTCTTCAGAGACGACGCGTTGCCAACCAACCCGATGTACTTGCCCACAGAGAAGCCCTTCTTCCTGTTTCTGTACAACCGGGAATGCCAGAAGGTGCAGGGCATGACGCTCAGGCAGGAGTTCCTCATCTACGACACCGAGGACACCACAACTCGTGACCACTACGGCGGTGCTCACCCCGCCATCTTCTATACAGGGCGCAAGCCTGGGGTCCACTTCTGTTACTACTCTCCCCCACACTACAGCGGCCCCATCATCGGGTGAACGGCTGTGACAGAACATGATCCTGTGGAATAAATGCTTATATTGGAAGCAAACCTGGACTCCATTTTTGGTGTCACCCACCACTGGGTGGTAGCGATGGATAAATTATGGAATACTGTAAGGGACATTCTCGCGATCTCGCATTCTCGCGATCTCGACCTTTGGAAACGAGCTTAATATACCCAAAACACGAGAATGCGAGAGCGCGAGATTAGGCCAAAATGTAGAAACCATCGGAGAATGTCCCTTACAGTATTCCATAATAAATAGAGGGTATTAAATGAGTGCTCGTGTCATTCTATGTTTACGAGACGAGTGTCTATATTGCGGTATCTCCCGAGCGAGAACGGTGATGTGAGGTGAAATTGGGTTAAACGTCGCGTTCAAGATTATTGCACTTATGTAGCGACGTGCATGCACGTGTGTGTGTGTGTGTGGCTGCTTGTACTCGTCCGGACTGATGCCGATTAATTGTGCTAGCTCACTGGGATACCGTGTCGCTGTTTAACATGAATACCCCACTCAGACACAGTATACTGACTCCGAGCCGACCAGTCCTTCTTTTAGCCCCTTAATGCCGAGCGCCAGACAGGGTAACAACAAGTACCATCTTTTAACGTCTTTTGGGATGACGCGACAGGGGATCGAAACCCGGACCTTCCGCTCTCCTGGCGGACGCTCTACCACAAGACCACGGAGGCGGTCCGAGCGAGAACGAGTGTCGTAGACATAGTATGACATGAACACTAAATAAAAAATTCTATTTATTACCAAAGATGTCTAGATACAGAGACGAATTTTAGTGTTTACCTATAAGGACAGCAAGTCGCAACAGCCTCGTAACCACAATTTGTCGAATGTTTCCGTCATCCGGACGGCATTGTTGACGTCAATGGAATCTTGCTGTGACGTGAGGTCGGAATGACATCACACTAAACACGTCATAGCTGAAGATTGTTGACGTCATTTGACAATTATTGTTTTTTTAAGAAGGCGGTCGTGATCAGTGCATTTTTTCTGAAGGGGTGATCAAAGGGATTAAGAAATAATGGGTAATAAAGAAATTATTACACTAGCTTCTGTGTCATTCGGATTTTACGAAGCTCGTGTAAGAATTCATGTATGACCCTTGTTCTCCCCCGGGAAATACAAGAATTCTGACACTCGTTTCGTAAAATCAGCATGACATACTTGCTCGTATAATAATCTCTATAAATTAAAAACTGCCGGGCAAAAGAGAGTATATACCACCTGACCACACCGACCCCCGATGGTGATGTATTTTATATGGTTTCCAAGGAACCCATGGAGATCCGGGGTAGAATAGGTCTTCAGCAACCCATGCTTGCCGTAAAAGGTGACTAACGGGGTCGGGTGGTCAGGCTCGCTGACTTGGTTGATGCATGTCGTCGATTCCAATTGCGTGGATCGATGCTCATGATATTACTCACTGGATTGTCTGGTCCAGACTCGATTATTTACAGACCGCCGTCATATAGCTGGAATATTGCTGAGTGCGGCGTAAAACAACAAACAAACAAATGGTATCCAAGGTGATATTTCATGCATCATATCAAAGAATATCTCACAACCTGCGACAATTTTGAACCCAGTAACGTTTGTAATTTCTTGGTCAAATCCTGTTTTCAGTGCATACGTGCATATGTCTACTCACCAATTTCTTTAAGCTACAGTGTCAGGTGTACGTAAATTTAATTTGTTATCAAAAACACAATATGCCATTAATTCCTAGAGCATGGTACCAAATCAACACTTTACCAAACGCCGAGGATCGCCTTTGTCATTACTTTTTTTATGTTATGCAGGTTTGAGACAACAGAAAAACGTCAGGTAATGATACAATGTTTACAATGGTATAAAATAACTGGTGACATTCTATTCACGAGTACGATTTAACGCCGCTTCACGCATTGTGGGGAATTGAACCCGGGCCTTGGTCGTGACGAGCGAACGCTTTAACTACTACGCTACCTCAAATATAAAGAGGGGCGGTCGGGTAGCCTAGTGGTTAAAGCGTTCGCTCGTCACGACGAAGGCCCGGGTTCGAATCCCGACATGGGTACAATGTGTGAAGCCCATTTCTGGTGTCCCCCGCCGTGATATTGCTGGAATATTGCTAAAAGCGGCGTAAAACCAAACTCACTCACTCACTCACATATAAAGATGCTAACTCAAGACATGTCCGGAAAGTAGAACTACTTCACTTACTGATGGCAACACCACTGTCCCTCCATCGTAGGTGTAGGTTCTTGTGCAGAGTTGCATCCCTTTGTTGCTAGGATCTGTCAGGCGAGGGTTCGAATCCTGATTTAACCCTGATTCCGATGTTTGGTGTGACAGTACCATGCCATTGTTCGACGGTCTCCTAATGTGTGAACGCGTGTGACGTGACACAGTTGATAACTGATAAAAACCTATAAACCCACTAAGGAAGTCACAAAATACAATGATCATCGACGCTTTTTTGACCTACAGATACGCAACCTTGTTATCACTGCACGAATGTCAAAACACTATCAGTCCATTCAATTACTATGGGGGCGTGACAAGTCATTGCGTCTGGACCTGGTAGATCTCCACAAGTTTGGCGTGTACCCTAGTCGCAGTTACTCAGTCTACCCCAAATAATATGGCAGAATAATTACTTGATCAGTTGTGGGATTCGAACCGGGATTCGAACCCACAATCATAGGTTTCTGTCGTTTCTGCACAGCGAATTGCGGCGCCTGAGAAATTAAGTAGATGCAATCTAAAACATACAGATACATTGGCGTGTCGACTGTCTAAAACATACAGATATATTGGCGTGTCGACTGTCTAAAACATACAGATATATTGGCGTGTCGACTGTCTAAAACATACAGATATATTGGCGTGTCGACTGTCTTAAACATACAGATATATTGGCGTGTCGACTGTCTAAAACATACAGATATATTGGCGTGTCGACTGTCTAAAACATACAGATATATTGGCGTGTCGACTGTCTAAAACATACAGATATATTGGCGTGTCGACTGTCTAAAGCATACAGATATATTGACGTGTCGACTGTCTAAAACATACAGATATATTGACATGTGGACTGTCTAAAACATACAGATATATTGATATGTGGACTGTCCAAAACATAAGGAAATATAGACATGTGGACTGTCTAAAACATACAGATATATTGACATGTGGACTGTCTAAAACATACAGATATATTGACATGTGGACTGTCTAAAACATACAGATATATTGACGTCTGGACTGTCTAACGTTTGAACTATCCCCATGTTAATACATTTTAGGGGAGTTTGATTCAACTCGACGTAAAGTACGGCGTCAGTGACAGTTAACACATAGAAGTAGCGGAGTCGTGCTTTCTCTCAAGCAATAGCATTGGGTAATATTTTCGCCGAAAGAAGCGTTCTTACAATCCCTGTTATAAACACATTTTCAACAAATATTCCGACGAGTTGGAGGACAAGCTTTGGTGACTCCTGTTGTGTGGAAATAGTGAGTGAGTTGGGGATAACGCCGCTTTTAACGGTATTCAAGTTATATCACGGCGCTGACAAACCTAGAAACATAATCGGGGCGTACCGGGATTCGAACCCACAATCATAGGTTTCTGGCGTGCCCAGGGGACGCAACTCTGCACAGCGAATCGCGGCGCCCTAGACGACTGGGCCACCCGTGTCCCCAGTTGTGTGGAAGAATCACATCATCTTCAGGCTGAAATTAACCGCGTGATCAAAAGATTTAGACGTTTATCGCTAGGAAAAAGGAAAATCCTAGAGAAGCGCAGTTTGCAAGCTCTGTGTATACTGTCAGTTATATTCATTTTCGCCGGAATGACTTGTTCTCAGTAGAACACTTGTAGCTATCTCCGTTAGTTAATCATTGCGATATTTCTTGATTCTGTATATAGTGGCGAGGACAACAGATGAATATTTTAACGATTGCTTAAGATACACAAGGACAGGCGAAGACTGCAGACACCAAGAAGGAGAAAGGAAAACATCCGCTTCCCCCTCCAGCTGGGACGCGAGGAACTTGTAGAATTAGTGATGACAGGTATTTGACATTGAGAATTAAAAACAATATAATAAGTGGTCTTTTCAACACTTACATGATAAGGGAATTTAGGCTAAAATGTACCAAAACATTATCCTGGAGGTTTTCATGAAGCATTCTTTTAATATTTGAAGATAAGGAAATATTTGAACCCAGCTTATTTACTTTAATGTGTGGATGTGGTCATATATTGCAGGTAATAGAAAGAAAATAAGCCAATTCTCAGTCCCAGGAAAATGTCCAACAATTTTTCAAAGTCTTTTCTTAAAGTCCATTTTATGCACATGTGGGTATTTCCCGCATATTCTCACAATCCTCACTTCGATTACCTGTACCTTTTCTCCCAATGCCGTCATATCTTTCCCGCTGTTTGATGCGATCCTACACCGCGAGATCTGACTTGGTTGTTGTTCAGGGAAATTTGACAGCAAATCACGACATGAAACAAATTCTTCAACCTAAACTTCTTCCAATCGTTGACCTGTTTCAACAGGACAACGTTCCATCGCACACAGCTCGTGTCACGGTAGGCTACCCTCATAATGCCAACATCAACGGTTTGCCCTGGCCGTCGAGATCTCCAGATCTCAACCCGAACGAACACCGCTGGGATGAACTCGATCGACGTGTACGTCAAGTCGGACAACTTCTTCTTGTCGGTTATGGGTGCACGGGTGGCCCAGTCGTCTCAGGCGACGCGATTCGCCGTGCAGAGTTGCGTCCCTTGGGCACGCCAAAAATCTATGATTGTGGGTCCGAATCCCGGTTCGCCCCGATTATGTTTCAAGGTTTGTCAGCACCGTGCTCGTGGGTTTCACTGAAGTGTTAAACGTCTGAAACCTGCGTCACTTTGGGCTTTCCTCCCACATTAAGCTGACACGCCACGATATAACAGGAATACTGTTAAGAGCGGCGCTAAACCAAACTCACTCACTCTTGTGATTTATAAAATAGACAAATACAATTACTGACACAAATATGTCGAGCGGAAATTCCAACTCAACTACTACGAGTCACGTCCAGCAAGCAGGCGTATCCTGCTCGCGGCGGTTCATACAGGTGCAGTCGTAAAAACAAGATTGACTTACAGTTCTTATTGCTCTTATGTCGCCTCTGCTTCGGCAATTGCGGCTTCTCGGCCCATCTGTGGGCCTCAGGAGTGTGAGTAGAGTACATATACCTATGGGAGTCAATCTCATTAAAATCAGATCTCAGTTCTCGCTACCGCTAAACAAAGATCTGAGGACATCCCATCCCTTTCATCCGACCAATCAGAGCGACGCTTACCAATCATGAAAGTGACAGTCGGAATGTGATTTCTAATCAAGCAGGCTCGATAACTGTAAAACGGGGTATTCCGAACCATAGTTACGGGCTTAACGACTAAATCTAAACGATCTAGACCTTATATTAGCCATTCGAGAATGTTCTTTTGTTCAGGTTTCAAATTTTTAAGCGAGAATTTGTCAAAATATGTTTCGAATCGTAGTCGCCAGTATGAAATTAGTTCTGTAAAGAACGAGAAAGCTGCCTTCTGATTTGCTAATGTCGACTTCTTGTCAGTAATTTCATTGGTCGGTCAGAGTTCGCGAAAGGTCGTTCTGACGTGACCCGCAATGGGATGTCCTCAGATCGTTGTTTAGCGGTTGCGAGAACTAAGATCTGATTTTAATGAGATTGATTGGGAGATTTAGTGTTGATAATTATATATTGTATGTATTGATAAGATTTCCATTTTCGTATTGACATGATTTGTTTTTTTGTTTTCTTGAATTGATAGAATTTCTGTGGCTGCCCTGTTAATATGGGTTCAAGTAGCTGCTGACCTTCTCTCCCAGTTAGTTTGGCCTTCGCTATTGCATCTCTTGGTTTTAGGAGATCTACCACAGATAGCGGATCTAACTGCAATCCTTATTTTTTAACGAGCCCGGGCTTGACATTCCACAAACAAGTGAGCAGTGGATTCAGGGTGATTGCAAGATGGGCATACTTTGTCATAGTGCTTCTTGTGACCGAGTCTGAGGCGTGAGATGCCTGCTTCAACTGTCCTTTTATTTGAGTATGAGTTTGGGTTGAATTTGGTAAAGCCATCTGCCGATCTTACTTGCGTCCCAATTGGTTTGCCACTTTTGGTCTATGGAGGCTTAAAATGTTAATGTTGCTTTTTATATCTAGTTTACCGAAGGGAATGGCTGTATCTCTGCTTTGTCTAGAGCTGGAATCGCCAATGTGTCTGCTTTTTTCATTTCCATAAATATCTATGTGAGACGGGATCCAACACAGCTCCACCTGTTGCCCTTGTTCCGATAGTTTTGTATTTTCGCTTTGAATATTATTGACTGTGTTTTGGCTAGAGTTTGAGACTCTGCCGCTGATGACTTGAAGTGCATTTAGCAAGTCTGATAGGGTGAATGCCTTTGCTGCCGGTAGTCCCGGTATATTGCTTGATGAACTGCCTCCAATATCAGCATTGACTACTGACTGGCCATCGTGCAGGTGGACCGAATGGGCTTGACGTATGGCTCTATGGATATGGAAACAGCAGTGTTGTTGAAAGGATTCTTGGATCCATCAGTGTATGTGTGTGTACTCTAAGCACTTTTAAAACCCAAATAGAAAGTAATCATAAATTTACCCCTTCTTATATTCCCTGAATCGAAGTACAATACAGTGTTTTAAAAATTACGCCACTTATTATTTTAGCTCAAGTATAACTTATTTCTAAAAGGTTTCATTATAGACACCCCAAACTGTCGCTGTAGTTTTCAGTGTGAAAATGTGTATCACTACTTTAGAGAATGTGCATTTTTTCAAACTGCAAGAAATATAATGTTTAATAGCATAACTGAAATTTGTATAAAAGCTAGTTCCTGATATGTCGATGTTGTTATACGGGATGTAGTTGTTTCACTCTGTCCATAAGTATATGGACTGGACTAAACTGTGTAAGTACATAGAAGACCGTTTTCTGCTGCTTCTCCCTATACATACCCTGTCTGTTGTACATAACTCAGTTGTGTTATTATATAACGCCGACCATGTTATTATTTTGGGAGCGGGATACATAAGTTGTGAAAACGTGTGCCAGCCCTTTTCCTTCGGAATAACATGGTGATGACAAAGAGACGGGAATTTGATATTCTGGGGCAGGGGAAATCTTTCATTGTATCGAACACAAATTGCTCCCAAACATTCTTTAAAAGTTGATTGTTTCAGAGTGTTGAAAAAAAAGAAATTGCATGCCACAAAAATTACATTGTTGCGGGTGTTTTTCTTGAAAAAAATCAGGCTGATAGTTGTAAGTTAAAACAAATGTAGCTGAAAAAATATCTAATCTGGATACCAAATTCCAGCCCCTCCTCCCCTCAAATATCCAATGGTTGGCCCCTACATTGCCCTTAGCATGAAACTGCTGAAACAGTTTATTTTGCATATCACCTGACCGGACTTTGCTCGTTTGTAAACAAACGCGCTTATTCTGCAGAGCAAGTTATCCTTGTGGAAGCCGTTCAGTGCCTTTTGCATGGTTATATAGATATATTAGATATGCCATTACAGTGATCGTATCGCTTTCTCGCCATGGGGCTTCAACGACCAACGGAAGCACAGGCTGAATTCGCAAATGGAAATAGTTATTCACGTCTTTGGATATTTTTTCAATGAAAGCCAACCATTTTGATACATTGTGTAGTCTCTTTAAAAACGAAACAGATGCACAATATATGTAATGTGTTGAATGGACTTTCTTCCGTCATTTTCTTTCTTAAAATGTCAATGAGTAATATGTAGAAGAGATTGCCGGGCCAAGGAAATGTCGGGTAATACTAAAAATGGATTGCAGAATCATAAAACGAAACGTGCGTATCTGGGCAAATATATTACAAGTAGAAACAAAAACTTCGACACATACATTGAATTTTAGATCAAAACTAATAAACAATGACTAAAGCGTAACATAAAAAGTGTGACCTAGCTGATTTTGTGTTATCGTTTACTGATGATGAGAGTTGTGGAACTTGTATAGTAAAAAGACTGCAGTATTTACAGGCTGCCGTGCTACAGCTGTAATATTACTGATTGTGACGTAACATATTCCCTCATTCGCATCACACAAATTCAACCTCAGCCCACGACGACATCCTACCCAACATTCACTTTGTTGGTCATGACAGGTGAGGTGAAATTGGGTTTTAACGTCGCGTCGAAGATTATTGCACTTATACAGCGACGTGCATGTACGTGTGTGTATGTGTGTGGCTGCTTGTACTAGTCCGGACCGATGCCGATTTATAGTGCTAGCTCACTGAGATACCATGCCGCAGTTTAACATGAATACCCCACTCAGACACAGTATACTGACTCCGAGCCGACCAGTCCTTGTTTTAGCCCCTTAATGCCGAGCGCCAGACAGGGTAACAACAAGTACCATTTTTTAACGTCTTTTGGTATGACGCGGCCGGGGATCGAACCCCGGACCTTCCGCTCTCCGGGCGGACGCTCTACCATTAGACCACGGAGGCGGTCTCGGTCATGACAGAGATCATCAGGTGCTAAGGAGCTCCTGTCAGGCTGGCGCAACACCATGTAGAGTGTGTTGTAGAGGAGTGTCAAGGGGACTTCGGGGAGCGAATAATTCAATCACTCTGCTGAAGGCAAATCTATTCCTACAGCTCAAGTCTTCTGGGGAAAACCCATTTATAAGAAGTACGATGAAGTGATGCTGAATACTTTGACTGGCCAGTCGGTCAGTTCGTTATGTTGGTGTTGTGATACATGATAGTCTCAACACCAAGGACGAGACAGGAAAATGTCCCCTTTAGGTCCACAAGATCTGAATAGCCCACAAAATCAGTGAAGCCTTTAGCAATCGTTACAGGTTAAATGCATGGGAGAATCTTTGGAGATATAGTTGGAGTCCAACAGTCATGACGAGTCAAGGACTAACTGAATGTCCATTCATTGTAGACATTATTATGGACATTCTCGTACCAGAGGTCCATGGCCTCCAAGTGTAGGGCTGAAAAGGGTCTGTTAGCCACCTGAACATGTCTGATAATTTCAATTATAGCAATCGATCAAATATTTTTTAAACGTATTTTTCACATTTCCTGTGGGGGCACGGGTGGCCCAGTCGTCGCTATTCGATGTGCAGAGTTGCGTCCCCTGGACACGCCAGAAACCTATGATTGTGGGTTCGAATCCCGGTTCACCCCGATTATGTTTCTATGTCTGTCAGCACCATACTCGTGCTCGAGGATTTTCCCAGAAGTGCTATACGTCTGAGACCTGCATCACTTCGGGCTTCCCTCCAACATTAAGCTTAAACTGGAATAATGTTAAAGGCGGCGTTAAAACCCAACTCTTACTGATGTAATCGCGTTTACAGTGCTACCTGTACAAGAGAATCCCTAAAGTCCTTGTTTCAACGTCCCTGGATAATGAATGATGCATAATGTGTGGCAACACAGTGTCGACCAAAACAGAATCAAGTATATACAGGTTATTTATTGTACACAAGCATACATTCCGATTTTCGCCATTCATTCAATATACATTCACATCGGTTATACAGTTTCATGTCACTGAACGTGATGCATTTTTGTTTCCTGAAGGATGTACAGGCATGTTGGCATACAACTTCAGGTTGAAAAAAAACAAACATATTTACAATTATCTGAAGCTTGTACGCGGCTACCTTAAACAAGGAGACAACTCTGGTGTTCAGTGCTACAGATAGGGTTTCGTGGCAAAATTAATAACAGATCACATTACTTTAACCGTAGCAAAAGTATCACCTTCAACAAATCCCATATTTTAACGATCTTAAGGAATAACATGCTTAAACGAAACAAGAGACAATTTGGAAAGGAGTCTGTGAGAGAAAGAGATTGTAATACTGAAGATTTTCACATGTTCACAGCTTGTGTGTAGTTCATCCCTGTTCAGCGGCAGGAGCCTGTTCAGCTGCTGGAGCCTGTTCTGCCTGGACTGTTTGTTCACTCTCAGGTTTGCTCTCTTCTACTGCTGGTGCGGGTGCGGGTGCGGGTGCGGATTCAGTTACAGGTGTTTCCTCTGCTGCCGGCGCAGGTGCTTCTTCTGCTGCTGGTGCAGGTGTTTCCTCTGCTGCCGGTGCAGGTGTTTCCTCTGCTGCTGGTGCGGGTGCTTCCTCTGTTGCAGGTGCAGGTGTTTCCTCTGCTGCCGGTGCGGGTGTTTCCTCTGCTGCAGGTGCAGGTGTTTCCTCTGCTGCCGGTGCGGGTGTTTCTTCTGCTGCCGGTGCAAGTGCTTCCTCTGCTGCCGGTGCAGGTGCTTCCTCTGCTGCCGGTGCAGGTGCTTCCTCTGCTGCCGGCGCAGGTGCTTCCTCTGCTGCTGGTGCAGGTGCCTCCTCTACTGCCGGTGCAGGTGCTTCCTCTACTGCTGGTGCAGGTGCTTCCTCTGCTACCGGTGTAGGTGCTTCCTCTGCTGCCGGCGCAGGTGCTTCCTCTGCTGCTGCTGGTGCAGGTGCTTCCTCTGCTGCGGGTGCTTCCGCTACTGCTGATGCAGGTTCTTCCTCTGCTGCCGGTGCGGGTGCTTCCTCTGCTGCTGGTGCAGGTGCTTCCTCTGCTGCCGGTGCGGGTGCTTCCTCTGCTGCTGGTGCAGGTGCTTCCTCTGCTGCCGGTGCGGGTGCTTCCTCTGCTGCTGGTGCAGGTGCTTCCTCTGCTGCCGGTGCGGGTGCTTCCTCTGCTGCCGGTGCAGGTGCATCCTCAGCGGGTTTATCCTCAGTCACTGGTGCTTGTTCAGCAGCAGGTGCTTCAGCTGCCTGTTCTGATGGTGTTTCCTTAACTGCAGGTGCTTCTTCTGCTGGTGTTTGTTCAGCTGCAGGTGCTTCCTCAACGGCTTGTGCAGGTGCTTCCGTGGCTGAAAGTGTTTCTTCTGATGCTGCTGCTTCCTCGGCAGGTTTCTGTTCAGCTGCGGGTGCTTCTTCAGATGGCTTTTCCTCAGCTGGTGCTGGTGCTTCTTCAACTGCAGCTGCGGGTGCTTCCTCTGCTGCAGGTGTGGACTCTACTGGTGCTGCCTCTTCTGCCTTTATTTCTTCCTGGACTGCAGGAGCTTCCTCTGCTGCAGGTGCGGGTGCTTCCTCTGCTGCAGGTTTGTCCTCAGCAGCAGGTGCTGGTACCTCCTCAGCAGCAGGTGCTTCCTCAGCTTTAGGTGCAGGTGCCTCCTCAGCTGCCGGTGCAGATGCCTCCTCAGCTGGTTTCTCTTCAGCTGCTGGTGCAGGTGCTTCCTCAGCTGGTTTCTCTTCAGCTGCTGGTGCAGGTGCTTCCTCAGCTGGTTTCTCTTCAGCTGCTGGTGCAGGTGCTTCCTCAGGTGCAGCAGGTGCCTCTTCTTGAGCTGCAGGTTCTGAAGTTTGTGCAGGAGCCTTTGTCACTTTGCAGGTGCAGATTTCACATACAGATTTCTCTTCAGCTGCTGGTGCAGGTGCTTCTTCCTCAGCTGGTTTCTCTTCAGCTGCTGGTGCAGGTGCTTCCTCAGCTGGTTTCTCTTCAGCTGCAGATACTGGCGCTTCCTCAGCTGGTTTCTCTTCAGCTGCTGGTGCAGGTGCTTCCTCAGCTGGTTTCTCTTCAGCTGCTGGTGCAGGTGCTTCCTCAGCTGGTTTCTCTTCAGCTGCTGGTGCAGGTGCTTCCTCAGCTGGTTTCTCTTCAGCTGCTGGTGCAGGTGCTTCCTCAGCTGGTTTCTCTTCAGCTGCTGGTGCAGGGGCTTCCTCAGCTGGTTTCTCTTCAGCTGCTGGTGCAGGTGCTTCCTCAGGTGCAGCAGGTGCCTCTTCTTGAGCTGCAGGTTCTGAAGTTTGTGCAGGAGCCTTTGTCACTTTGCAGGTGCAGATTGCACATACAGATTTCTCTTCAGCTGCTGGTGCAGGTGCTTCCTCAGCTGGTTTCTCTTCAGCTGCTGGTGCAGGTGCTTCCTCAGCTGGTTTCTCTTCAGCTGCTGGTGCAGGTGCTTCCTCAGCTGGTTTCTCTTCAGCTGCAGATACTGGCGCTTCCTCTGCTGCAGGTGCAGGTGCTTCTGCTTGTTTTTCTTCTGTTTGTTGGACAGATTCTACAGGAGCTGCCTCTTCTGCCTTTATTTCTTCTTGTACAGCAGGTTCAGCTGGAGCACTTTCCTCTTTCTGCTCAGTTTGTGTTTGAGCTTCAGCTGTTGGTTCTGATGGTGCAGCTGTTGGCTCTGCAGCAGGTGTTTCTGTTGCAGCTGGTTCTTCGGCCTTTTGTTCCTCTGTAGATTCTGCTGGCTTCTCTTCAGCAGCAGGTGCCTCTACCTTAGCTTCTTCCTGAGCTGGTTCTGCTGGTGCCTGTGCAGCAGGTGCCTCTTCTTGAGCTGCAGGTTCTGAAGTTTGTGCAGGAGCTTTTGTCTTTTTGCAGGTGCAGATTGCAGGTACAGATTCTGCTTTTGACTCCTCTGTAGGTGCCTCTCCGGCAGGCTCAGCCGCTTGTTCTTGAGAAGCAGGTGCCTCAGCACTTTCAGTTCTTTGAGCAGAGTCTAATGATGCAGCAACAACATCATCGGTAACTTCACGTACACCTAGAGGAGTAGACAGATCACGTCCTTCTGTCAGTAAAGGTGCTGACTCTACTGCTGTAGCCATTGCGACACAGGATTTAGGGTATGCCGTGTGTGATGTAGTTTCCTCAGATACAATCAGGTTAAGAGCACTTTTTGGCTTGTCTTCCACGGCAACGTCCTCTGCGACTACAACAGGTTCTGAAAAAAAAAGATGTCGTTTCATACATCAAAGATCAATCAACCAATAAAAATAATAGATCAATGGCAGTGTATTTTTTATTACAACAAACTATTTTAAAGTGATTAATCTTATACAATGATCACACTTGCGTTGATCTAAATAGTCAACAATGTTTTAATGTAAAAGTGCATCATTTTTCAAACCTTAAAATTCAAATGTCTCGTTTGGTTTGGTTTGTTTCTTTGTTGTTGTTTAACGCTGCACTCAGCAATACTGCAGCTATATGACTGCGGTCTGTAAATAATCAAGTCTGGACCAGACAATCAAGTCATCACAAGAATCGGTCCACGCAATTGGGATACGATGACAACCAAGTCATCGAGTCTGACCACCCGATCCCTTAGGTCGCCTCTTACGACAAGCAGTCTGTTGGGAACTTGTTTAGTTTCTTTCACTGGGCCACCCGTGCCCCCGACGGCCTGCGAACCCAAACGTGCGGGACACTGCGCACCAGTACGGAAGTATTACATTTCATCCAGGTTTCATATGGAATGGTATATGTGACTTCATTACTTAACATTTCTTCTAGGTTTGATAAGGGATGGCTTATGTCAATGTGACTAGTTTTGAAGTATTACATTAATTACGTTTAGGTTCCAGTATGTAAGTATTACATTATGTCTGACCCGTGAAGATCCGGGGTGGAATAGGTCAACCCATGCTTGCCGTAAAAAGGCGAGTAAGCTTGACGTAAGAGGCGACTAACGGGATCGGGCGGTCAGGTATTGACTTGGTTGATGCATGTCATCTTATCCCAATTGCGTGGATCGATGCTCATGCTCAATCACTGGAGGGTCTGATCCAGACTCGCTTATTTACAGACCGCCGTCATAAAGCTGGAATATGGCTGAGTGCGGCGTTAAACAACAAACAAACAAACAAACAACAGTACGTCTAAGTTTGATGAGGAATGACTTATGTCCATGTGAATACTATGGACCTATTACAGTACGTCTAGGTTTGACAAAGAATGAATTCTGTCTCTTTGACTAATTGCGCAACGTGTAAACGTTGGTTGTTGACTACCATAACAGAGGCACAAGTTCAAATACACAATTCTCCCACTGGAACAAAGACGTAGTTAATGAAGAACGGACGATGGCTTCTTCATTGTAAATTATTAATACACAGCAACCAAAATTCTACAAAACTTTGGGTTGTTATGAACTCACGACTAATGAAAGGTCATTGTAATGCATACTAAATATTCCCCCAACACAAAAGTATGGACGTTTGCCAAACACATTATGTAAAAATCAAACGTTCCAAAGCCGAACTCGCCCTGCCTGTTCTAATGCCCGTGTATACATGCCAAACTGTAAGGTAAAACGCATCAACGCGATATGTCAATCGTTTCCCCAAGTCTGCAATGCATATACATGCACTTCTTAATGGTAATCGGTGAAAGGAAACGGGCTATTTCACAGAAAACGGATCTTTATTAACTTAACACCCTAACTTGATACCCAGACTAAATATTTTCTACGTTCATCTCATTATTCCAGCTGCACCCACTCCCGGTGGAACGTGTGTGAGAATCAAGCAGTTAATGCTTTCTGGAATATGACCTGACTGACTGACTGATATAGGAGATTTAACGTGCGCTTTCCGACTGTAGCGTATTTCGCACACGGGCCTGGCCGGGCCATTTAGTGTATTCCGAAAAGGGTGAAAGTGGTGTGTGCAACCCAAGAGGGGTCTTTTAGGGGTTGCTTATATTGAATTTTTTGAATTTTTAAATTTGGAATAAATGCCGAAGTGGGTGGAGGAGGGAACTAAGGGTGAGGTGTGTGGTTGTATGTTTATTGGATTTTGCATTGGTAGGTTAATGAGTTTTTAGATGCGCTTAATTAGATCTGTTTTGATTAGGAATACGCCTAGGGCCTTGAAGTTTTCTGGTTTATGGAATATGACCAAATCTGGTAGATAGATATAGGAATGATTAAGCTCTGAAATGAGAGCGGCTCTGGGACGAAGGTCAGATCCCCGTCTCATTCCTTGACTACTCGTTGGAAAGGGCAAAGTAACAACACACGGCGGTGGCGTCGTCAATACAAACCAACATCGCCGTCAGCATCTGTAAATAGCATCTCAAGTGTTATTTCAGGCTTGGCGAGATGCTGGAGTTACGTCTGATAGCGTACAAACTTCACATTCCACAAAAGCCCAACGCTTTGTTGTTATCTTTTTGTTCAACAGTCAGGTCTACATGATATCATGTGACACATCTGGAGAACGCGGGTCACAGTGACTTCGGATATGTACACTTGTGTCCTGGGATGCGTGTGGACATGACACTGAGGGTCAGCGCGCAGGATATGAGTCAACGCTATCACATGCCAAGCTGGATGGGCAGGAAGTATGTCCCAGCCTCCTTGTTCGTTTGTTTGTTTGTTTGTCTGTTGTTTAACGCCGCACTCATCAATATTCCAGTTATATGACTACGGTCTGCAAATAATCGAGTCTGGTCCAGACAATCCAGTGAAGGGAATGAGCATCGATCCACGCAATTGGGATACGATGACATGCATCAACTAAGTCAGCGAGACTGACCACCTGATCCCGTTAGTAGCCTTTTACGACAAGCATAGTCGCCTTTAACGGCAAGCATGGGTTCCTGAAGACCTATTCTACTCCGTTTTTCACTGTTCAATTCAGTCAGACACGCATGTTATTCACCAACAGTAGCTGGTGAAATATCTGGGAAGCATTGCAGAGAATACAGCTGACAAACTTGGCATAAATAATCTACAATGTACTTATTATTTCCGGATCTATCAGTGTGGGGTGTGAAACAAACAATTCAATCAGTATAACTTAGTAGGCCTCTCAGTCCGTATTCTCAGTACAAGCAGCTTATGTGATAAATAATTATACATAATCGTAATTGCCTTTACAAAAGTGTATAAACAAAATACAACGCACTGCTAACCTCTCGTCAGTAGCCTATAACTTGTCTCTAGTGATTACATAACATAAGGCGTTCATGTATAATTAATTAATTTATCCTTTTGACTTAAATATCGACTATTCCAAAAGCTGAATCTACAATTCAGATAGATAAATAAAGAATAGCCTTTGTGTATCAAAACAAATCAAAATAATTCATCTTTCTTCAAAATTTGAAACAAAAAGAAGTAATTGTTGACAAAGTTCAGCTGTTTTAAAATGTTTTGTTTAGAGAGTACTCAACAGAGGTAAATTACGATATCACATGCCGTTATCAGTTATCAATGACCGACCGACCGACATTCCCGTATACCACTTGAGGCAAGGAGCGCTCTTTATCGCCTCAAGTGTACGCATCGCACATTGTGGCTTCGAGACTACCAGTGACGTCACAGTCACGTGGCTAGGTCCCGCCCCTCTACACCTTTAGTTGTGAATGAACTGCGTCGTTTCAATCGTCAATGTTCATAACATAGAAGTATATCAAATACTTCTCTATTAACGAAACCAATTGCCCGTGTGGTAACTGTCACCAAGTAAACTACGTCTAAATATTCACGGACATCTTACAAGTAGTTCACCACTTGTATTAAGTTGAAATTACCAAAGTCTTAGCAATAACAGGTCTGGTACATAATTAACATTTTTTAGGATTGTGTGATCTTCACAGAGCCATGTGCATACCAAAGGTTCGCGTTAACTATTACAAGGAGCTTCAAATAGCTGACTGAGAACTATCAGCCCCACGACAGGTTACCCCTGTTCTGGGCCACCCTGCCCCGAGAGGCGATCTATCTATATTCCCAGCTTCGGGAGAACTACCAGCTAGACGGGATACATTTTCGCAGAACATCTCCGTGTACTTGATAACACATATCTTCTCTGATTGTACCAGAATGTAGTAGATTTAATTGCAAGGGTTTATCTATGTTCACTGGTATACTAGCGCCTCTGAGACCTGCTCCTGTCCCAGGGCTGGGGTTAAAAGCTATAACAGGGGCACTAGGGGAGTATTATATACATGACTTATCTTACATCAAAGTCGGACACAACCATGAAATAAGTGACGACTCGCGCACATACCATGCCGCTTTCTAACGTGTCTGTTAATGGTAAGACTGATATGTAAGCGCACACGCTTGCCAAGAACGTACAAAAAAAAAAAATACATGGAAACAATCATCAATAAAACTTAATTTGAAAATATAAAGTTTCGGTGTTAAATGATAATTAAATGCATATAATCATACAATCAGATTTAGAATAGTGCATGTCCAAATCTTTAGAATACATTTGCATCAAACATGTTCATTCTTGGGTCGTTGCAAAGCATCCCCGACTGCACCCAACACATCAATAGTGGAGAGCAATCATACAGAAATGTAAGTGAAGGTTATATTTATAAAAAGAAGTATCAGCAATTCTTAGTCAGAGAGTAACAGCTGCGGAATGTGAATCTGATATACGCGAGGAATTTATTGCCGCATCGATATCAAAGGCGATAACGTTTCCAGCATACTTGAACAAGCACAAGCATCATTGGAAAACGCGTAAATAGTTTGTTCATAGCCAAAAAATAAAATTGAAATTAAAAAACAAGATCTAATGGTAATATCCAGGATTTGTGTGGAGTTTCTACATACCTAACAATCAATAAGAAATACTTTTAAAAAGTTAACTAAGAATGCACCAATCAAACATCAAATAAGTCCTATAAAGATACAAAGTTACTTATTAAAGTGAAATTTCTACAATAAAATGGAATAAGAAAGTTAAGCAACGTACCTTCTAGCACAAGATGTCTGTAGCCTGAACTATGAGAGCCCTAAAAGTAGCGTAGTTACTAAAGTCACACAAACTGGGGCTGACAAGTCACAAAGTGGACAGCACAAATCCCAAACACTGAAATGAATCGGCGAGGTTTCTGATAGACTCAAACCTACTCCTTATTATATGTTTCACAGCGGCAAGGTAAATCTCATCTCAGTTCCGGCGTGTTGCACGACCT